TTTTTTTCTCCAAAACTCATACATTTCTCGAAATTGGCGGATTTTCCCGCTTTTTTCATCACTTCTGTACTACAATTATCGCTATTTGATGTAGAATAGGTAAACTATCGTAAACTGTGCCCTCAGGTTTCCTAGCGCTGATCAATCCCTCAGAGCCGATATGTACAACATTCCTCTCAGCGTCATGGTGATTTAATGCATATATAGACTATACAATGCGAAGGTCGTTTAGTGGCAAGTGGCGCACTATATCACACGCACGGTCATGGGCTCGAATCCGGGATCGATGTCCGCCTAGGGCAACTAAGCCTTCCATCCCACCGGGGCCGGTAAATTGGTACCAGACTCGTCTGGGAGGATAAAAGCATTGATTTGTACATCGGCTGGCCAACGCAATTCATTGTATAGGCCACATACGCACTCATTACGCCACTACGATTTTGAATGGAAGGCGAGTGCGGGGCGCATCTCTCAGACGGGATTGTTTAACGCCAAAAAACTTTATCCTTTTAACGACTATAGAGTCAAGAACTCTTCATTGGCTACATACATGATAACTTGGTTGATCAGTAAGATACTGTAACGACCTAATGGTCTAGAGTTTGAGTTTTATTTATAACTGGCCAATGTTTCAATTCCTAGGCAAGTTACACCCTGAATAAGGATGCAACCACATTTTATCGGAACCATTGTAAGGGCCAAGCCGACAGTAATCCGAAAGAGGAACTCGTAAAGAAGAAATTGGAAGTCGCCTAAGCGACATCTTCGGAAAATGTAAGCAGTTTCCGTGACGGCATAGGACTAATTTGGATAATAATTTGGTTAATTACCAGTTTATTTATTCGGTGAGCACATGAATGAGCTCTAACAAATCCTGCCTTGACCACGAAGGTGTCATAAATAACGAAAAAAACAAATAAATGGCTCAGTCTTCTTTCCTCTCATTCAGATATCCACATGGACAAGTTTTTGACCCTAGAGGCTGTATAAGTATTTATAAATTTCAACCAAAATGTGGGTATATCGCAAATCCCCACGGGAATGAGGACAACGGGGATTCCAGATGTCTGCGATTCTAGGAAAATTTCAGTGAAACGAGTCTGGCAGTCTGGCAAACTCTTAATTGTACTTGTCTATGAGGGCTTTTCTGTAGACATAACGAGGAAGCAGGTTGTCTCCACAGGTAGCACCGAAGGAGCTTGACTTTCATACCCTGAGAAGTCTACCCTATCATAGTTACACGTGTAGTAATCGGTTGAACCCAGCCTTCATAGCTGGATCGTTTCTTTTCATTCTTGAAATCATAATTTGAACTGTGGGCAATGAATTCCGGTAATAATGTTAATACGAATGGATCGAAGGTCTTCTGACCTAGATCGATCCCGTTTCTGGGTCGCGCTCCCTTGCTGAACTTCATTCAGAATCGTTGTAACGTTTGAATGCGTTTGTAGTGTATACAAGGGCTTGCGGTGGCCAGCCAAAGTGATAGCCAGCGCCTACACCCTATCGGACAAGTCTGGCATCAGTTAACGGATTCCCGAGCGATGGAAGACTTTGTCAGCTTGGGCAAGTGTCGAACCGGGATTCAATCTCCTGATCTTGCGCATGTGGTCGTGCACACTTGCCGCTACACCACTTCCGCCTGATAACCTATATAGCAATAGTATGCATTACAATTATTTCGCCTTTCAAAATCACCGGTTTCATAGTTCTGGACTGATTTCTGCAGTTTTTTTTATTTTTTTGGCATGCAATATGGGTCTATCTCCCGTTACAAAGCTCTGGGCATTCTTCACGTGAACGTTTCTATTATACTTTATAATTCACCCTAAAATACTGGTAATATTGTTAACTTAAGACTTAGGTCATGGGGTAGATCCATAATCTTGTCTCACTAATTAGCCGCTCTCGAGAGGATCGATCCTGGGTCAGCGCAGCCCAGCAGCGGCGCCTCTTGCCGCGACGCCTCTTTCACCCATAGTCAAATACGTCTTTTTGCGCAGAAAAAAAGTGGGAGCCTTTCTATTGGTTCTCAAATCCGACTGAAATTTGCTATGACTCCATATTCCCCTCTTCGGCATTGAATCAGAGATTCGGCGACATCATTGATGTATTTTTAAAATAATGACGTTGATGCAAATTCGTCTCTATGCTTCGGGAAGGCAACTTTTTACAGCCATGGNAGCCGAAGCTTCCTGGTGAAGGAATTCGTTGGCGCATTCACAATAGCGAATATTAGAGCCGCGAGGCGGATTCGATTTGGCTTGCGCATTCCCCTCTCTCGCCGAGTCGAGTGCCCTCTTCGTCTTCGAATATTGCACTGGCTGCACTCCCCCTCTCCCCCACAAATGGATGGTGTTGAACTTTTCGTTGAAGACGAACAGAAACAGCCAACGTCGTTATGATACCGTTCATTCAGCCATTCGTACCGGCGGTAAGTTGAGGCTTTAGACGATTTATTTCCTCTTTCCCATTATCTGGAACCTCCTCCGGGATTACCTTCCGCTCCCTCATTATGGCTGCAGTCTCCACCCGACTGATGAATGGCAATTATTCAAAGCTGTCCTGAATTTCTTTTACTCTCAAATATCTAATTTCGTTACCTCGCCAAAGAATTTCCTCCCATAACCACGTTAGCCGGAACCTTTGTTAGATTTCTGTCGACTTATTGTTTTTCCCGAGCCTTAACTATTCCTTCCAAGAAGGGTGACATTTTGTGGTACCGACGTTCCTGGAGGCCTAACGACATCAGTCAGAAGAGATCCGTCTGCCATGTTGGTGTTCCTCATCTCTACGGAATTTTAGCTGTTTCTTAAAGTCTTGCCCTCTGACTTAGGTTTCGGGCCCCAGGCCTACTTTCGGATTTGGAAAAAGAGGGAGTCTAAAGTACAGACTTTTCCTCATATTTATTCTGTGGGAGATTCAACCTCATCTCTTCAAATCTTTTCTTCTGGAATTTACTCTTTATAAGATCTCTAGGGTTGAAAAGGGTAGGAGCATACAATGAAGATATTTTCTACTCAGTTCAAACTCAAGTTTAGTTTGACTATTTCATAGCCTTTCTTTTGCGCTCTTTATCAATTTCTGGATTCAGGGAGGTATCAAACCTGTGACGATAACGTTTTTTATCACAGTGATCAAGTTCTATTATTTTTACAGTATATCAGAACTTTTTTCTTGATGTTCTTGCTTGAATTCCTTCACTTTCGTCTGTGAACATCATGAACTCGAGGAACTCCCAGTGTTTTCGGGGCAATTTCTGGAAATTATGGTGCAGACGGTCCCAGGCCTTTATAGCATCAGTCAAAAACATACTGTACTTTTCGACATTGTTGGTTACATCCCCACTGAAGATGTGTCAATTTTAAGCAGTCTTCAGTCCATAACCAAGGGAAGGAAACTTGATGAGGAAATCTCGTTTGAATTGGCGCCTTCTCGCCTTTTGAACCTGAACTATTGCTTCACTGGTTCCACTTGTCCGTATAAGAAACTCTAAGGCGATTCCCAGTAGCTGAAATGCGTTCCTCAAAAAACTGATTACTTTACTGTTTTTACTCAAAGCAAAGAGAAGTGGGAAGCAATTCTCTTGACAATAAGAATGAGATATTTTTGGAGAATGGCTGTATGGTATAGGTAATCCACACCGGTAAGGTGGGTTGCGTATGTCCAATCAACATACATATTCCCCACTGTTGCTGAAAATATCCTCTAAAAATGTCATCTAAGTGCGAATAAATCTCTTCTCTACATTTTTGAATATGCAAATACAAATATCCCCATAAAAAATTAGTTTTCATATTTATTTGCGTCCCTGGCTTTTTACTTAACGCAATCACTCTGAAGTTGGGTAGTGTCCAGAGTATGCGTTTTCTTGATATGAACAACTTTCTTCCAGTAGATAGACATTCTGGTTATTCATACTGTGCCACAGAGTACGATCCGTCAATTTTACTTCACTTGATTGATAGCGGGTAACGATTTACCAAGGTAGTTTAAAGGCACAGTTCACGATAAAAATGGTTTCTGAGATCCCCCACAGGATGAATTGAGGCCCCCTCGTTTACCATATCGCTCTATTAGGTAGGAAAAGGCCTAGTTAGAGGGTTACAAAAGCTCGAAGATTTGCCCGTGTTTATCCTCTGACGAGTTTTACCGGCATTATAGAGGCTGCACCGATCACAAGGGAACCCATGTAGAAAGTTCAAACAACTTGTCATGACCCACAGCGACAGTGACAGACAGATCTGTACAGTTCTGACGTGATGTAGTCAGCTCTTTGTGCAATTGCAATAATTGAAATCTCGTTCGTATACCCCTTCCATGTCATTTTCGTCATAGCAATCTCGTCCAACCTCTATTTTCCCTACTTTGAAAAGCCATATTTTTCTCGAATTCGGCGAGTTCCCTCGCTTTCTTCATTACCAATAAACTATTCCCGACACATACTTCCGCTTTTCGAATAAAAACGGGTATCTCAAAATTATCGTGAACTATGCCTTTAAAGCGTCTTCGAGGGGTGGCCACAATCGTTTCCATTTTCTTTCTATGCTTTTTCTTTTGTTACTATCTGATCAAATATTCGGCAATTATTTTACAGTTTACAACTTTGTTGGTTTTTTTTTTTGAAAATTCGAAAAGACCAATTTTAAGCAATCTCAATGTGAAAAGAATAGTGAAAAATAGGTAGATTGGGCCGGGCCCGTTTCTATCCTCAGGACTCCCCTGGCTAGTTTATGATCTGGCTCGAATCCTACTTAGGCTACTTAGGCAAACCAACTATTCGATTCTTTTCTTCAAGGTTGGTGTTGGTGATTTGTGTTTCATGGTGAAGCATAGATCTAGGCGATAAAGGTGTTTTTGTATGTCCCGAAACTTGGTCCAAAAATCTTTAGAGAGTTAAACAACTTCCGTGTCTCGAACCTCACGGTCACTTGAAATCCTATCGTAACCAAACTCCTCCAAAGTCTCCCATGAGACCGTTACTCAACATAGCGTAGAGAATGAAAACAATCATTCAACCGGTAAGCGGCTTACTGGACGAGCTCATTCCGTTGATTGGGATACCCCTATCTGCCCACTACGACACACATCCTCCGTATGTGCTGGGGGAAGCACTTCTTCCCTCCTTTTTCCCAGTCCCATCCTTGAAATTATCCCACTAATGACTTGCGAGCCTTTTTTGCATACCTCTTCTGCAGCTTTACTCTCTTTGTGACTAAGTAATCGATTTGTGCATTAGAGCAAAGAAAAATGACGGCAGTTTGTTGGGGAACATTCTTATCCAAAGATAAACCCTTTAGATAGAGACTGATCGTTCCAATCGCCATTTCCTTCTCGACTTTTCAGTTGTCGGGCGATTGGACTCAGGTCGAAGTGATTCGGCTTTCCACCGAAGGCGGAGGTCTCGGCTTTGGTATCGTCGGAGGCACGAGCACCGGTGTAGTCGTGAAGACGATCCTACCAGGAAGCCCAGCGGATAAGGTAAGAAAAAATAGTGATACTTGAGATCTTGACCAGTTTTCTTCCCTTTTCATTTGTTTTGTTCCATGAAAAGGGTTACTTTCTAACGAAAACAGCTCTGACTGAAGGTCCTTCATTTTTATGTCTAAACGAAAACGAAAAACGAAATGAACAGTCAGCAATGTTGAAAGTGGTGAAATAAACGATTAAACGAGATGGAAAACGAGAATTAAACAACAAACAAACAATGAACAAATAGGTGGATTATAAGAGAATGCTTACATCTCTTTCCCGACCCATCTTCAGTATTTGTAGGAGAATATTACTCTGATTCTTTTCCTACTATGCGTATGTATACCCATGTTACTTAGCGCATGGCTCCTATTTTTACTGATATGACTTCTTAACCTCAACGGCTTTGTAGCAGGTGACCATCAAATCAAATCATTGTACTTATCAAGATTGGCTCGAAGCCAATCCTGGATCCTTAGCCTATATGAAGTTGCCTTATGGGAAGGCACCGGCATATCGTCTGGGTGGGTAAGAAAGTGGAGCGGGTAAGGAGAGCAAGAGCAAAGTTTTTCTTTTTCAAGTTTGTTGAACTTCGGTCACAAAGTACGGAGTGTGTAGGTGGGAAACTAACTTGCAGGTCCGTCGGAAAAACAACACAACGCCGCTCGACCCCGCCTTTAATTAAGACCCATGATGTCTTTGAAAATTATGTTGACGTTGATGATTGGCAGGTGGCCTTT